TTTCTAATTTACTTTTGATATAAAAGACAAAACTACCCTTAAATATCACAATACTCTGATTCCCCCTTCTCAGATTGGTTTCACTTTCACCCACTCGAATACATGGAAATGACACTATACTCTCAATCACGACGATGAAGAAACTGATAGTAGACAATAAAACAACTCATATCAATGGATAAACGGAGTTAGAGTTTCAGTTAGGAGACCATAAGAACATGAGGCAAGGCGAGGTAGATTGGAAGCAGGTAAGGAAGTCTGAAACTGTAGCTTCTACATAAAGCCATACTAAAGCTGCAGATCTAGGGTGAGAAAATCTGATAAGACTATGTTACAAAAGCCAGAGTTCAAGCAAGAGTTTCTTGAGATTTTGTTTGATTTATTTTGAGAAAATAATTATGTGTTTTTCGTGTTACTGATTTGCAATACTACATCATTGATATATGATTATATATCAATTATAAATAAGTTTATGTTTGATTGTCTGGTTATATTGATCTACGATAGTATATTAATGATATACTATTATATATCACTAATATATAAGCTATATTAGTGAAAATTTATTAATTTATTTATCATTTATATACAGCCGTATATCAATGATATAATATCAAAAATCAGTAATAGAGTTTTCTTTTCAATGTCTAATGTCCTCTTTGTAATATCTAGGGAAGAACAAAGAGAGAAAGAGAGAAAAACTCTACGGTGAAGATGGTGATCTAGAAAAATTAAATCAAAAATTTTAATGAAGAAAAGCACTGTAGGAGAAATGAATATAATGATCCAAGAAAATAAAATTTAAAAATCTAATGAAGAAAATATTCAGGGATGATAAATCAGAAGATGGAGCATGCACAATATAATTTTTTATAATAAAAATGAAAGATTTAATTAGCTAAAAATTAGTTAAATCACATATATTATGTTTTAATCATAAATTTATTTTGAGGATACAAAAGGAAAACACATCTAATTAATTTTATGAATGGGCCATGTTCAAAAATATTTAAAAACATCATCCATAATTTATGAGAGTTATATTTTTTAAGGCCATTGAGCTAATTTTCTCTATTTTTTAATGGAGGGAGTAAATGTTTTGTTACTTTTTATTATACAAAAATAGAAAAGACAAAAAATATCATGTTTTTATTAATAATAATTATGTTAATAAAATAATTTTTTTCGCCCTATATTCGAATAATTTAAATTTAAATATGTTTTTCAAAATAACAATTCAAACGTTTTTTTTTTCCATTTTGTGTCCAAAACTTGTTCTAAAAAACTCCCACAGAGTTGATTTAAGAACATAAAAACACAACACAGAACCAAACAAGCCTGTAGTTAGCGGAAACTATTGTGGATATGATTAACATACAAACATGTTAATCAGCTTCTTACGATTATGGGAACGCAAGAAGATATAACGAAGAAACAGTAAGTACGCACCCGAACCTTAATCCAATCTTCAGGTAATTATTATCTTCAAACAGGAAGATCTCCATCCATATTAAGCATCAAATTAATTTGGGGAAAATATTAACGAAGGACAGCTAAAGAAAATTTATATTAGTCAATGATTATTTGTTACGAAACTCGAATAGATACTTATCAATTCAGATTAATCTTTTATTAATATGTATCTATTTAAGTTTTAATAACAATTTATTTTAAATTAACAATTCATTTGAACTTTTTTTAATTCAAATTTTGATAACAACTGATCTTTAATTAATATAAATTTTCTTTCTTTGGTTCAAAATATATGCGTTTACCCTTAGCTAACTTTAGTTTAAAATATAAGCAACATAGTATAAGTTAAAAAATTCACCATTTTACCCCTTATATTTATTAATCTAGATATTTTTGTAAGTGTATTTCTTAGTCATCATGATGTACTTTGATAATTTGAATTAGGGTAAGGAAAACTAATACTCCTTCCATTTTTATATATAAGATATTTTTAATCAAATCTCACATATTAATAAAATTTTGTTATTTAATTAAATTTACATAAAGCACAAAAATTTTTTAATTTTACCTCTAATAATATCATAATTAATATTATAATAATGGTAGAAAAAAATATATAATTAATAATCTATTTCATTTTTAAAAAAAGAATAAAATTATTTAATTATTTAAAAATATTATTGATGTTGTTTATATTTAGAGATAAAATAAATTTTTTAAAAATACTTTATATATAAAAATAGAAGGAGTATATTTTGTATGAGAATGAGAAATGTATTAATATGTAAATTTTTTTAAAAAATTATTTATATTTTAAATCGAAGAGAATATAAATCTGTACTGAAAGGTTTAAACGAGGCTGCCACGTGTTTCCAGTAGGTGAAGGAATGAAGCAGGTCACGAGCTGTAAACCTAACCTTCAAGTCAACACTAATGACGAGGAGCTTCTAGGAAAGAAATCATGAAATAGACAGAATTTAGTTCGGGACCATCTCATAGACAGCAAGCGATGACCATAAAGACACCATTAATAAATTTGGTCCTACTTACTTTTGTAGATTGTCAGAAGGATGACCTACAATTATATCATCCGCCCCTTTACTTCACCAAAAATTATTTCGATGCAATCAAGAGACAAAGAAAGTAACTAAAACGACCACTATATATATATATATATATATATATATGCATGCATGTTTGTATCCATATGGATAAACAAGTACCCTTTAATGTCAGCAGCAAGGCCACACTGAAAGTGGAAGAAATTGTGTGTACCTCAGCTTTGAGTCTTCGACTAACTATTATCAGGCAAAATATAACAATAGATTCCTGGATACTAAGACCCTATTTGGTTTCTATTCTCATCTTTTATTTTTAAAAACTGTTTTATAATGTAGTTTTTAAAATTAATTTTAAAACAAAATAAAATAAAAATTTATTTGGTTATATTAATTTAAAATAATTTTAGAATTAAAAAATAAACTGACAATCATAATTATAGGAGTTAGTAAGAGTGATTAATAATAAAAATTGATCAAGATAATTATAATTTTTAATAATCAAATGTAATGTATTTTAAAAATAAAAAAGTAAAAAAAACAACTTAAAATTATTTTTAATTTGAAATAATAATCAAATAACATTTTTTTTAGTTTTTATAGTTCTATATTTCATTGTTTTTATTATTCAAGTCCCTTTAGATTGATTTATTTGTAATCTATAGTCTTTATAGTTTTAAAAATATATGTCAGAACCATGAGTTGATATCCACGAAGTTAATTTTGTTGATATGTACTTTGATAATCCCTTTTTACTATACTTAATCTCACTTTTATCTCCCACATCCTGTTTAAACTAAATATAAAAGAGCTTTTTTTTCAATTTATATTTAATTTTTAGTCAATTTATTTCCATGTTATCAACATATTTTTACTATGTTAGCAAAATGGGCTAGCAGAGATAAGGAAAAAATTACCCTTGCTAGTGTCAACTCTTTATGTTCATTTTTAAAACTATCTAGAGACTAATAGTGCAAACTAATCAAACTAAAGAAATTGGGAATAATTAAATAAAATTATAGGAACTAAAAACAAAAATATAACTAAAGTACGGGGACCTACTATTACATTTTTCCTTATTAATTATCTATAAAAAATATCCTTGAGCTTCAATTCCCCCCCCCCACACACACATATAGTTATGTAATCTAGGAGCAAGAGTGAGCATTGCATCTAGCTAGTAAAAATGGTAAAAAATTGTTTAAAATAATTTTTATCATTTATAAAAAGAAGGTTATGGAAGGCACTAGTAAAAAGGATAGAACAAGTAATTTTGACTTCTGTAAAAGGATAAAAGAGAAATATCAAAAAGAATACTCAATAAAATTATTTAACAATATATACCTTTTGCTATATCGCAAGATATTCAAAAATTTTGTCATTGATAGAGAAAAATGATATTATGCAATTTATCTAGCGGACTTCACTTAGTAAAATTAGGCCTAGTTGTTGTTGTTGATTTGCAGTTGTGTAATTGCATCCGTTTTTCTCCACCGGGTAGAAGTTCAGTTTAGTCCTGTCAACGGAGAGTTACGACGCTCTCTCACTTTATCAGTCCATGGAAAAAATCTGTCTGCAGTATCTTAAAGTCCTGAGCTGTATCTAACTTTCAAGTTAACGAATGGACAAAAAGCTCCTAGAAATCTCACATCGCCAAAAATTTAACGTTGAAAAAGAACTTTTGAACCTTGTGGAATCTATGTGGTTCCAACAGCAATTTCAAAAAAAAAAAAAAAAAACGAAGACAGACAACACATTCCTTTAAATAAAAAATTTTAAATATATATATATATATATAGAAAAAAGCTTCTGAAGATCTCACATGGCCAAATATATAATATAAAAGAGCTTCTAAACCATGCAAAATCCATGGTTCCAACAATAAAAAATTGATTTATTAAATTTACATTTCTACTTTCTTGTGTGCATGTGTGTCTGTATATTATATTATATTACAGCAAGCTAATAGGTAGCTCAGTTAATAGATGGAGGGGAAAAATAAGACATGAGATCTTAAAAAATATGGATTTGTCTGTATAAATATCTCAGAAGCATGTCTATATGGAAAGTCATGCCTAGCAGGTCACATTGTTTAATTTCAAAAGTAATTATGTCCCATAAAGAAGAGAAGCGTGAGTAGCAACTTATAACATTCAATTCGCACCAACCCTATAAATGTTTTTTTTTTTTTTTTTTTTTGGCTATGGTATCTTGAGTCTTTGATCTAGACTAATTTGGCCAGCAGCTTGCAGGGACTTCTTTCAAGGGCATATCTCTCATGAAAAATTTAATGACTGCTATATATTTAATGCTAAGCTCGAGACTTTAGGTTAAGCTGAACCAAACTCCTAACTAGTTGATCTATGCACCCAATGGTACCAACCCCATGAACGTTTTAGTTTGCTCACTATAAAGAATGGTAGATTGCAAAACTAGAAGCTCTGGTTCAACCATCATGCATGTGTACAGTACCTTTCCATTCCCAGCTAAACCATTAACCATGGAATGTTCACTGTCTCACATTTGCTATGGAAGAAAGTGACAGTAGAGGCTTGGATTTTTTTTCATGAGATAACCCTCCAGACTATTAGGTTGGACTTGGAGGGTCTAAGTGTAAAATACGATCAAAACTAATGTCATATAAAACACAGACAAAGAAGGGGCGATGTCAATATAATTCTCTTCTTGCTTAGCCACTAGCAACTCTCTCTAGCTTCTTCATCAATTGTTCATGGAGTTAGTAGCAGTAGCTGCAACTACTGGCATCAGAACAATTGATGTTCTTGCATCAGAAATCTCAGTCCACTCATCATGGCCTTCCATGCAAATTGATAGTGTTTTAGTCCCTTGTCGGGGCCCATTTTGCAGGCCAGCTTGTTCATCTTCTAAATCCAGAAGAAGAAGCTTGGTCCTTCCTATTATTAGAAGCTCCACAAGACCAGGCGTTGACAGTAGCAACACAACAAATCAGGACTTTGCTGTTGAACAAGATCCAAATTCAACATCTCGACATCAACTAGCTTCCATACATGACCAAGCTCTTAAAACTACATTCTCTACAGGTCTGGTGTTTGAACTGGGATTCAAAGGCTCATGGGATTGTTCAGAAGTTGGATCCCCAGTTGTGAAGAGATTCGTTGGAGACAATGAAGAAAGGTGGTATATGTGGTACCATGGAAGACCCAATGACAGCACATCAGATTCCATTGGATTGGCAGTGTCTGGGGATGGTGTTCATTGGACAAGAGGAACTCAAAATGCTCGTTCAAGTGGGCATGTAGGCTGTGTGCTGAACCCTAGCAGCAAATGGTGGGCTTTTGATACAGAAAGCATCAGACCTTCCCAGATGGTTGTCATGTCCAATCAACTTCACAGTGCTGTTTACTGGCTTTACTACACAGGATATAGTTCTGAGGAAGTGAACCCTTCAGGATCATCAACAAATCTCATTGTGCAAAACCCAGAAAGTGTTTACCCAAAAGATCGGAGAAATAATGGCAAGATTTTCAAATCTCTCCCAGGCCTAGCTTGCAGCCAAGATGGTAGGCATTGGGCAAGAATAGAGGGAGACCATCACAGTGGAGCAGTGCTTGATGTTGGAACAGGAAATGATTGGGATTCTTTGTTTATTGCTGCACCAAACGTTGTTGTACATAGCAGTGACGATCTCAGGATGTATTACCATTCATTTGATGTAAAAACTGGGCGTTATGCCATTGGAATGGCAAGATCCAGAGATGGAATGAGATGGATAAAGCTGGGAAAGATCATAGGTTTGTTTGATGATGAGCTTGGAGTGAGAAAAGCCAATGTAGTGAGAAACAATGGAGGAAACTACTTGATGGCATATGAATGTGTTGCAGCAGATGGAAGAACAAGCATTGGAGTTGCAGAATCCCCAGATGGACTCAAGAACTGGACCAAGATTCAAGAAGAACCTACTCTGATGCCTTTAGAAGATGATCACGGATGGGACAGTGAAGGGGTTGGATCCCCATGTCTGGTTCAGATGAACAACAACAATAAGAGTGATGAATGGAGACTGTATTATGCAGGAATAGGGAATGATGGCAAGACAGGAATCGGCATGGCTGTATCAGAGGGAAGCAATCTCAGAAGGTTCAGAAGATGGGAATGATGTATTTCCCTCCACTTTATGTGTGTGTGTGTGTGTGTATATATACATATTTTAGTTTGATCATCTATGTAAATTAATCCCGGTAATTAATATATTTGAAGTTGTCATTCATACTTATGCATTAATTAGGATCCTCGGAACCCAGAAAAGCTTAGTTCACATTTTATATGCGTATTCTCAAACCAAGCCTCAAGACTTAAACCCTGCAAATGCTTTGATGGTAGATGAAGGAAAAGTTCTTGTGTTCTTCTTGGGTAAAAATAAAAATAAAAATGAAAAATCAATATAATATTGTTTTCATCAGCTTTAGTGCTGTGCTTGAAAACTTGCTGCGCATATACTGAACTTAGTATTTCTTGATCAATTATTCCTATTTTAAGAAGTCCATTTTGATCATGACAAACGTAGTGGAAAGGAAGCAAATATAGTAGTATTATTATTTTTATAATTTCGTAACTTTCTGGTTAGTTGACCATATTGGAAAATTTTGTAGAAAATCTGTTTCAAGTTGCCCTTAAGAGTTATTCCGGCATGGTTGTCAGCAGCTCCTCAAAATTAAGTCAAACCCTCTTGTAAGATGAACAGGGTGATAGAATAGCAAAAACATAAAATAACTCAGAAGAAGCACAAGAGGGAAGGAGAGAAGAGTGCCCGAAAGGTCAGGATGGTGCACTACAACCTGAGATAATCTTATAAACATTGGGCAATAAAACAAGAATCATTGATACCTTAATACAAATAAAAAATGGTTTCGATGATAATGAGATTTAACATAAAATAAATAAATTTAAATAGTAATTAATATTATTAATCAGAATCATAATTCCTTTTGAAATAACATTAAATAATTAAAATATTCAACAATTCCTACATATTTCAAAAGAAAAAAAATATTTAAAAAATTATTTTATACAAATAATTTTGTAACTTAGTAGGATAGGTATTGGGTGGTATTTTTCATGTTGGAAACAATTCTACTATTAACGTCAATTTTGCACTTTAGAAGGCAGTGCGTGTGCTTGGTATATTAACGTCAGTTTTGCAATTTAGATATCACTACAATCTCGTAAAAGCAACCTTATTTCATATTTGTTTAGATGATTTCATCAAATATATTTGTAATGAATACACCTTTCATAAAAGATATGAAATCATTAAGAGCTTTGCTCAGCCTCACCAACAATGTATTCTAACACTTTTTCATACATCATAAAAAGAGGGACAAAATAATTTTAGCGCTAGCATAACTAACTAATGATTTGTTCTTATTCATATGAATCTTCTTCATAGAATTTTCAATTACAAAAATTGAGTTATCATCATGGTTAATTTCAAATTGGTTTAAGTTTCATTCCACATTTGTCAATTTTGCACTTTAGATTTCACCACAATCTCATAAGAGCAACCCCACTCCACATTGGTCTAGATGATTTCATCATATGTATTTGCAATGAATACACCTTTCATAAAGGATATGAAATCAAAGAGCTTTGCTCATCCTCACCAACAATACATTTTAGCACTTTTTTATACACCATAAGAAGAGTGACAAAGTAATTTTAGTGCTTGCATAATTAACAAATAATTTATTCTTACTCATATGAACCTTCTTTATAGAATCTCCAATTATAAAGGTTGAATTATCATCATTATTAATTTCAAATTAGTTTAAGTCCCATTTCCCTTTATATTTTTTTACTTTATTTCTTTCCCAAGGGTTTTAATTAATGGATTTTCTAGATATACATCTAATTTCATATAATCAATTGAGATAATCCCATCTTTTAGCAACTACCTTATAATATGATGTCTTAAATGAATATACTTGCTCTTGCCATTAAAGGTTTCATTTTTAACTATAATTGTTACTAATTGGTTACCACAAATTATTTGACACAGTTTATGGCAATTTTACCCTCACTATATTATTTGCTAAAAAGTATTTTAACCATTCAATCTCAATAATTATTAGCCAACTCTAAAGTAATAAATTTTAAATCTCATAATATTTTATTGGGAGAATTACACCCTGGTTCTACATAAGGAAATTAATTATTATAAGGTTCATTGAAAACTAAACTAAAGAGATTGATAATACAATCAATTGTCAATCTCCTTAATTCAATTATTACTAGATTTTGTAATAATTAATTTTCTTGTGTGAGAGTTCAATGTAATTTTCTTTGTTTTATTTGTCTATAAATGGATTTTCTTTATATGAATATAAAATTTAGCTAACATCATTATATTATTTTAATACAGTGACAATCTATTATATAAAATATCAACATTTGTAGTATCTCTCAAAGTAATAAACTTTGACTTCATTGTGGTCGCAATATTATTTTAGGTTTTCATTATCATATATAAAGAAATCATTATTTACAATAATGAATACTTATGCCAAGATAAATAGATCATGCATAATTTCAAAATACATTTATCTTCACTAGATAGATGATTATATTTTTATATGCTTGTTTCAAGCCAAATAAAGTTCACGAAGCCTCCATTTAAATTTTTCTCTCTAACCAATCACATAACCATCTTAGCATTTATAAAATAAAGCTATACAATATATAATTAATTATTCAGAGTAAAGTAAAATATTTTTGCCAGACACCTGCCCACCTTAAAATATCTCCATCATATGAAAAATATTTCATACCTATCAATAATTTTAATTAAATTAGAATCTTATCATATAACCTCCTCCCATTCTAATTAAATTAAAATTTCGTGTTATTTTTAAATTAACATGAACATATTAACCCATGCACATAGGCCCACATCATGGATATTATTATGTGAATCATCAACAATCATTCTCCGGCTCACGCATAAAGCAGTGCAAGTAAACACCATATATATACATATATATGTACGTACGTACGTACACACAGATACATACATATTATATATAAGTATATATTAAACTTTAATGTCAAAAAAACCGACCAGTGCCTCCACCAAATTAAATTAGAGATAAAGTATAAACGAACATTTCCGGGGGGAAAAAAAAAACCCACAACTAGTATCCTGGCACCAACATTTTAAAAAGGAAAAATTACAATTAAGGACCCTTGGAGATAATAAATTATGCTACAGGATCAAATAATTTTGGTATTATTCTGTAGGACCAAATTATCTATCTTTGTTGTGAAAAGATAAAAATACTCTTCATGTATATATTAGATACTCTTTTAACAATAACTCCTCATTCAAAAAAAAAAAGTCTCATTCACATTTTAACAATAATCAATTCCCTCATCAACAAATTCAAAAAATTAACTTTATGTTGGAGATAAACAAATGTTGTATCTTTCGAGAAAAAACAAATCTCATCCATTCTAATAACAATTAATTTTCTTATTAATAACTCCAAAATATTAACTTGATGATGGAGATGAACAATTATTGTGATTCGGTGAATAAGTCCTCGTTCAAAAAAAATAAATCTCATTCTCATTCTAATAACAATCAATTCCTTTATTAACAACTATGAAATATTAATTTGGTAGATAAATTATTATAATCTGGTGAACAAGTTTCTATTTGAGAAAAACAAAATTCATTTTCATTTTAACAATAATGAATTCTCTTGTTAGAACAAACTTACATAAAGGATAGTTTTATCTTTTCATAATAAATTTTAATTATATTTAGGTTCTTTAGTCCTATCGAGTAATATCAGAATCATTTAATACTGGGATGTAATTAATTTTCTCTAAGGGTCCTCGCTTGTGATTTTCCCCTTTAAAAAAACAACACAATGTTGCACGTAAGTGTCACGTAGGCTGAAAGTTTTGACCAATATTCCACACCCCTCTTATACTCCTTTAAGCCCACTCTTCAATGGAAGCAAATCTTACCCGCCATCTTCTCCTTCATCGCCGTTAAACCCCTTCTATCCAACACCCATCAAACTTTGCTTGTCAAGGCCAAACCTGCGGAATCCAACGGCTTCAATTACTCCGTTCGACTATCGAAGCCGAATCTCTCAGCCAATAAACGACATGTCATAGGAGTCTTGGCCTTTGTGATCACCGGACTTATGTCGAAGCTCCTCCACCTCTGTCACTCCCTCTCCGATTCCAGCATCATCCGTCTCCGAAACGACGTCGTCTCAAGTTCTGGGCTGATTCCAGCTTAATCAATCACCCGATGAAGTTCTTCGCTCCCATGGGCCTGCTTCCAAAGGGTGTGAAGGAATTTGACATTGACAAGGAAGGTTGCTTTTGGGTGCATCTGCATGGATCAAGCTTGCAATGCCAAATTCGGGGACTCTGAGTCATGGGCAGCTCCGTCTGGAGACGCGCATGGTTTCCAAGATGGGTTGATCATGGCGGACTCTATTTCAAGGCTTTGATTTAAGGAAGAATGACAAAGACAAAAACATCAATTAATTTAAATTAAATTTTAAATATTAAATTTTAAAAATTTATAAATTCATTTTTTAATTTCACAATTACACGTTATGAATTTTTAATTTATTTTTTAAATTTTAATGTGGTTGAAGAATAAAAAAATTATTTTTTATTAAAATTTAAAATATAAATTATAAATTATAAATTTATCATAATATAATTACAAGATTAAAAGATAAATTTATAAATTTTTAAAATTTAATATTTTAAATATAATTAAATTAATTGATATTTTAGGACCTTTATGTCACCCTTCCCATGATTAATTTGATTCTTTCATTTTCTTTGGTTATTGTTTGATTTTCGATTGAATTAGTATATATGTTGATGTCAGATGGACTGGAAAATGAAAGGGCGTGACAGGTGGGGAATTACGCGGATCCTCTGATTCTTCTTTTTATTTTTTTTTTCTTTTTAAGTAAAATACTTTTATCGCCTTTTTATTTTACCTTAATTATTCATATATCTTTCCTATTTTTAAAAGTATACTCCATCTATTAAAAAATATAAAATATTTTTTAAATAATTTGATATTAAAAAATATAAAATATTTTTAGTCTTTCGAGGTATAAGTATTATCTTTTTTTTAAAGTGCTCCTATTGATAGTGATTTTATATTTATTATAGGATACTTAATGGAGGTAAATATAAAAAGATAAGGTTAGTTTGAAAATATGTAACTAC